CCCGGACAGGTCATGATCAGCGCATGGCTGACATAGATGAGGCGGCCACAAGTATTTCAGCAAGCTATTTGGATTAAAAAAAAAATATTATCGTCGTGAAAAGGTTACATGGCCTCGTCCCTTGAGCGAGTTGTGATTTGAGGACGCGGGCTCAGCCTCACCTTATTGGGACAATAAAGCCATTATTAAATTATTACATTTGAGAACGCTTAATTGCATTTTGTATAGTTTTTTTTAAAAGACCCCAGCACCTTGTTTGAAAACCCCTTGTCTATAAATATTGGAAAAAATAAAAACAAATTTTTGTTAATTATTAGACATTAAATTTTTTTAGCTGAGACATTTCTCTTTTCTTTTAAACAGGTTGTTAAAACTGGTGGAACGCCAAAAGTTCCAGACTGTTTTCAGCGCACTCCTAAAAAACTTTGTATCCCAGAAAAAGCTGAAATTTTAGCTGTAAATGTTGACTCCAAAGGTGAATATTGTTTGCTTTTATCACACATTTTGTTGTGAATTTTCCCTGTGCATCTGCTTAACTGTTCTGTTGTCTTTCATCCTGCAGGAGTTCATGCTGTGTTGAAAACAGGCAGCTGGGTACGGTACTGTATCTTTGACTTGGCCACCGGCAAAGCCGAGCAGGAGAATCACTTCCCCACTAGTAATCTGGCCTTTCTGGGCCAGAATGAGCGTAATGTGGCCATCTTTACTGCTGGCCAGGTGAGACAAGCTATGTTTCCATCACTCTGTTTTAATATGCATTTTGAAGTATTGAATAAGAAACGAGTGATAGAAACGCCAAATTTTGAATAAAACCTTAATTTTTAAAGTTTTTACGCTCACTTGAGGTGGTTTTTGACTTGTGCGAAAAAGAGTTGATGTGAATAATGGGAGATGGAAATGCATTTTGCGAATAAATTCCTCCAAGCGCATCAAAAAAAGTCACTTGACTTTGCGCTATGGGATGGCAAAACCTGACTAACCAGTGGACCGATCTCATTCCACAGCATCTGAAATGTTGTTATGGTCATTCAGAAATGCACGAGCAAAGTCTGTCATCAAAGTATTTCTGTATAATTGCCTCCCAGAAATGTCTCGCACGACTGCATTCCCAAACAGCACAAGCGCAAATACTTTATTATATATGAAAATTATTATATTCTCCTACTTTTCTTAGTGATTTATAGTGCCAGTTTATCAGGAAGTGACGATTTTGTTCTTTTTGACTGGTTGAATGGAAACGATGCTTGTTCGCAAATGTTTTATGCGATATTCCAGTTTTGCGCATAAGTTAAATTCACAACTTTGGATGGATACCCGGCTACAGTCACACAGTCTGATACGTTTCATGCACTTCAGTTTCTCTTTGCTTGTTTGAACTTTCTCATCTTTGCATCCTCAGGAGAGCCCCATCATTTTGAGGGATGGTAACGGCACCATTTATCCCATGGCTAAAGACTGTATGGGTGGAATACGCGACCCTGATTGGCTAGACCTCCCGCCAATTGCCAGCCTAGGCATGGGAGTTCATTCACTTGTCAACCTTCCCAGTAACACCACAATCAAAAAGAAAGCAGCCATCATCATCATGGCTGTGGAGGTATGATACACCAACCTGCTAAACATTAGACATTCAGTTAGTGCTCTACCAATCCCTTGACACTTAGTTTTTCCTCAAGGAGCACATGTGCTTCTAATTTGAAAAATGAAATGTATTAAAAAATTTGTTTTTCAGTAATGAAAGGATACAAGATGACATTTGCATGCAAAAGAATTTAGTTTGTACGAATACAAAAAGTACACAAGGTTTTTAAATATTTATGCTGCAAACTGCTTTAATTATAGAATTATAATTATAGAATTATTTACCAAAAGCAAATTAAAGCATATATAATATATTTAATTGTGTAATTATTAAATACAGTTTTAAGCAGATATTTGAAAACCCAGTATACTATTCATATTATTTGTTTTGTATTTTTTATTGTTTAATATATTTTGTAAAAATATTTTTGCTTGTAAATGTCTCCTTGTATGCCTTTATTAAGGATAAACATTATTTAATAAATTATTTTCATTGCACCCCTAAGGTTTTTTTAATACGCTCCTAAATTTATCAACTACATGCCAAATACAGTTTGTGTAACTGAAATACCAATAATGACCAGAAAAAAAGTTTAATCAAACAATCCTGAAAAACACCTAGACTCTTACTTTGACATCTTTACTTCCTATATGTAAATGCCATGAAGTAAACACTCATCAGAGGAACATTCTGTTCTATCACAAGCAATCTGTTGGCATAAATGCGCATATTCAGTGATTGCAAATTGCTCTGAAACGGCAAGCCCGTAGAACACACGCAGTGCTGCGTTTTTACTTTGAAACGCTGCAGTGCTCACATTTATTTAATTAAATTGTCACCTCAAATTTACAACCTCTTGAAATGATGATTAACACTTACCTTGAATTTGAATTGTTCACATGTACTAAATAGGGGTGGGACAATATATCGATATGGCGATATATCGTTGTCGTTTTCCATGCGATACGAGAATCGATATCTGGCACCAAATATCGATATTTTAATTATTACAATAAGGCGCTCTATAAAGATTTCCCTGCCCGCAGCGTCTAAAAATGCCTTCTTTCCAAAGCGCTCTGAGCAACCATGAGAAACACTCCAGTTAAATTTTTAAATGTACCAGGTTTATATATGTATAGGCTATATATAAAGTTGATAAGCAGTTAAATGTGTTGGTTTACACACAAAGAAAAGTGTAAGCTTTTAATCATTCCAAGAATAAAATTATTAATTTCCTTAGCATATTCAATTTGATTTACAGAACTTTTGTACTGTTTTCTGGACTTGAATAAAGAGAGAACTTGCACTTAACCTTTTCACAGTCATTTTGTTTTCATAGTTAGATATCGTGATGAATCATTATAGGATTGTCTAGCAATATTACCGATTATCGCAGAATCGATGTATCGTGATATTATCATACCGTGATTCGTATCGTGAGGTACCCTGCGATTCCCACCCCTAGTACTAAATACATTTTACAGTTTGCACATGTTTTTAGTCTCCAATGCAAGTGAAATGCTTGAGCCTATATTTCCGGTTGGTTTATTGTTTGCTCTCTGCGTTTCAGAAGCAGACGCTGATGCAGCACGTGCTGCGTTGTGATTACGAGGCGTGCAGGCAGTACCTGAGCAGTCTGGAGCAGGCCATGCTTCTGGAGCAAAACCCTCACTCTCTGGACGCTCTGCTGGGTCACCGCTGTGACGGCAACCGCAACGTCCTCCACGCCTGCGTCTCCGTCTGCTTCCCTGTCAGCAACAAGGAAACCAAGGAGGAGGAAGGTTAGCATGCAGTGTTTTCAGTGTTATTTTAGTATCATTGAGATGCTATTACAATGTTTAATAAAAGGATAGTTTGCCAAAAAAATTTAAATTGTCGTCATTTACTTTCAACTTGTTCCAAACCTGTATGAGTTTTTCTTTTAAGCGCACAATAGGGGTGGGCGATATGGCAAAAATATCATATCACAAATTTTTTCACGATAGATACATGATTTTATCACGATTCTTTGTCATGTTGGTTTTACTATTTTGCAAGTAGTTGCAATTTCCCTGTTTTAAAAACAAAGCCTTACAAGGTAACAAAATCAAAAAGAATGGCAGACATTTAGGTCAAAGTGGGCAAAGATAAAAATCTGTCATTATTTTATCTTTGTTATTAAAAAAGAACAAAGATGCGTCTTACAAATACACATAATATACAAATAAAACAAACAGTAGGCTACAGTAGCTGTATTTAGCAGTAGCATTTAAGAAATGTAATTAACAAATATAACAATAAAACACTATATACACTTTATACATAAATTATACATTGATTCTTATTAAAGCAACTGTATTAAAATTCTTCAGTGAAGAGTAGTGAGTGATTTTTCTTTGTTTTGTTTTATTACTATTATAGGGATAGCTCACACAAAAATGACAATTCTGTCATTTACTCAGTTTTTATTTTTTTTAAACTGAAAGTTTCTTTCTTCTGTTGACAGTTGCTGGTCCTCAGTTACTTCCATAGTATTTTTCCCCCCACTATCATGTTTGGTTACCCACATTCTTCAAAATATCTTCTTTTGTGTTCAGCACAAAAAAGAAATTAATACCGGTTTGGGACAACATGTGAGTAGGGATGGGTATCGAGAACCGGTATTTTTTTTAAACCGGTACGTAGAGCTGGGCGATATGGCCAAAAAAATTATCAGTCGATATCGATAATTATCACGATAAATGTCATATCTTTATTTCTTTCAAGTTTAAAGTCAGATTTTTGCTCCAAAGTGAAAGTTGTAGAAACCAGACCATTCATTTTCCTTGACAAAATAAATATCTAAATAGAAAAAAAATTATTTTCTTAGTTTCTGCATGTTCTAATGAGTGATATTGTTTCAAATCAAGAAACGGGTTTGGGTTGCCTGATAATTTTAATAATAATTATATCACTTTTTGTCTCTTAGAAATGCACATTTGATAGTAGCTTGAGTTAGGATGCAGAGGGAAATATTTGTTCATTATCAAAATCAGTAACATCTCTAAAAATTGTAGCAACCTCAGTTTTATGATTAAATTTATTCTGACCAAGGACTTATTTATTTTTAAATTAAGCATCGGTCTCTCATAGTAACATGCATTTAAATCATGATAAACAGTTAAAACCACACATATAGCACGTCAATACCATGGTAAAAATATAACTATATGGTTTTAGGTTGTCTGTTTGTATTAAAAACAGTAGTCTAAAAACATTCAGTATAAATGCACACATGCTTAATCACAAATGCATACTACAATTATATACCATTACTCCTTTAATAAAATTCAGTGTGAATATCCCAAATTTCTGCCAGAATACCATGGTGCAGTGTGTGTTACTACAGTAAATCTATGGAAAATGATGGCGATGTGTAGATTGAAAAGCCTTCTGACTGTCTCGTTGCGCCCAGTGTTTCTCCTGTTTGGCTTTAAACTAGTTTAAATCACAGAGTCATTTGTGTTCATCGCTCTTTTTGTGCTTCACACTGGATCTCACAGTGCTGCTTAATGCTCGTGTGACCGAGTAAACACATCTGCTCTAGTGAGCTCACGCCACGCGGCAGTTTGAACTGTGATCTGAGCGGATAAACGGTCCGTGTGGCGCGATTCAAATGAGTCGCGCTGTTTCGTTCTGCTTTTGGCACATAAACATTATATTGAACATTTATCGAACTATTCATATCGTTTTATCAAGGAAAATTATATCGATAATTATCGTTATCGCCCATCCCTACCGGTACGTAATTTGGTCAATACCGGACTACCGATAAGCTTCAAGACAAACGATACTGTTATCGATACTTGTTGTTTTATCTCTGTATACTTCAATGTTAATGACGAATTAGAAGCTGTTGCTTGTAATTTTCTGTCACTGAATGATGTGGCCGACATTTGCTTGACATCCGTGTGATATCCATGCGCATGTGTGGTGTGTGTTTGCGTGCAATCAGTGGCGACAAGAGTGAAACGTTTTTGAAAGTGTGGGCTCACGATACAAAATTAAGCGACACCAGTGTCAGATGCAGTAGTGTAATAGTGAACAAGGGAGGCAACACTAGTAATGTAATGAAACATTTACTAACAAAACACATCTACCTCAAGCAATGCGCTGTACTTTGTCTCCTGGCTCCAGCTCCAACTGCAAATCGCAAGACACATTCACATCAAATATTGTTTTGGTAGAGTTACACTCATGAGGCTTATTCGCTATCACAAAAGTACATTATTTCCACATGCTTTGAAGCCTTGCCGGTTAAACGTTTCATTTGCGTGCTGTTTTAACATGCGCTTATTCAGAGCACGTACACCCGAAGCGTCCATACACTAAAAGGCCGGTCAAACAGCACCTGTTTACTTAGTTATCTTAGTTATTGTCTGATTGCGCTAATACTGTCAAAAACAAACAAGGTTTACATATAAACAGTTATGTCTAAAGTGAAAGTAAGCCGTTGAGAGAGAAATGGATGCGCGCAGCTCTTAAAGGGACCGTATTAAACATGCTGCCGCTTGTCATTAAAGGGATAGCAATCGGCAGTATGTTTTGTGCTGTCGTTTTAAGACCTGCACACATCTAAAATACAGGCACGCATCCGTTTACTTTCACTTTAGACATACACAAGGATTACATTATAAATACAGTTGGTTGTTTTTGACCGTATTGGCGCAATCAGATGTGAAATAACTTAGTCCAATAATAAGGCACTGTTGACAGGCTTTTTAGCGAGCATGCGCTTCAGGTGTAGGTGCTCAGAGAAAGCACATATCAGAGCAGCGCGTGAATGAAATGTTTAACCGGCAAGGCTTTAAAGTATATGCAAATGTACTTTTGTGATTGCGAATAAGTGCAGTGTCCAGTGAGTGTAACTTTACCGCTGAGATAACATTGGATGTAAATGTATGTGGCATTGTACAGTATATAAGCTAAAAGAAATTCTTACAGGTTTGGAACAACTTGAGAATTTTCATTTTTGGCTGAACTATCCTTTTAATTTTTTTAGTTAGTTTTTATTTTTATATTTTCTGTCTTTTATTTACATTTTTAGTTTGAAGTTTTAGGTATTTTGTTGTTGTTTTTTATTAGTGTTTTTTTATGTATAGTTTATTTAAGTTTGAATTGTTTAGTATTTAAACTTAAAATAAATGGACTTCAGTTTATTTTAATTCAGTTAATGGTTAAAGTTTAATTTAACAAAATAAATTTATTTCCGTTAGTTGCCACAGCAGCATTTCTATTTTTAAGGAACAGAGTTGATGACATTCACCATAATATGGAGCTGTATAGACATCATGTACTTGTTTTCGGTGATGACAAGTGAGGCAGTTTTGCAACGCAGACGATGTTGGATGTTTTTCCAAACCCAGCCTGAGATGACTTGAGTGATGTGCGATGTGTTTCAGAAGCAGAGCGGTCTGAAAGGAACACGTTCGCTGAGAGGCTGTCCGCTGTCGAGGCCATCGCCAATGCTATTTCAGTGGTGTCCAGCAACAGCTCCGGGAACCGCACGGGATCGTCCAGCAGCCGGGGGTCAGTGTTCAGACTCACTGGCATACAGAAAAACATTTCACCAGAAGAACATTTAAAACTAGTGGTCGACCGATATATCGCCAATGCCGATATGTGACCCTGGACCACAAAACCAGTCATAAGGGTAAATTTTTTGAAATTGAGATTTATACATCATCTGAAAGCTGAATAAATGATTTTTCCATTGATGTTTGTTAGGATAGGACGATATTTGGTTGAGATACAACTATTTGAAAATCTGGAATCTGAGGGTGCAAAAAAATCGAAATATTGTGAAAATCGTCTTTAAAGTTGTCCAGATGAAATTCTTTGCATTGCATATTACTTATCAAAAATTATATTTTGATATATTTACGGTAGGAAATTTACAAAATATCTTTATAGAACATGATCTTTACTTAATATCCTAATGATTTTTTGCATAAAAGAAAAATTGATAAATTTGACCCATACAATGTATTGTTGGCAATTGCTACAAATATTCCCGTTCTACTTATGACTGGTTTTGTGCTCCAGGGTCACATAAATTGGCCGATATTTGCATTTTTCAAATATCGGTATCAGCGGATACATTTTTCTGTTTGGCCGATGCATTTGCGGCGGGACTTTTATTTTGATGGCGCTGGTAATGGCAGCGCCTGAGCACAGTGCTCACATTCTCCCTCTTGTTTGCCGTCCTCTTAAACAGTTCTGTCTAATACGGATAGAAGAAGGCTGTCTAATAATCAGATAGAACTGTTAAACAAAGGGATTCAAATGTATACAGAAAAGTATTATAACGATTGTTTGCCTTTCTATTACTAATAATATAAAAACATTGTAATACTTTCTCGTTTTCCGTCAGCATTCAGCAAATATGCATTTATATCATTTAAACAAATCTTTGAATGGGTAATGAACATTTAATTGCACAAACCTTGCAAACTTAGTTGAATCCTGTTGTGAGATCTTGTGAAGTGTGCATGTGACCTGCATGATTGCGTGTTTTCTCTGCGTGACTGTTGGTGCGAATTGAATGTTTTAAACATTAAATTCGAGATTTCAAATTATGCTACGCTTTATACATTTGCCTATTGTCATATTCATGTCATTTTCACTGTGTGCTGTATGTAAAATGAGTGTTACCTTGGCTTTATTTGAAAAAATATGATTCGCAATGCACACACACTTCCCAGAATACTGAGTGCTCTGTTGGTTACAGTGTTTACTTCATTTTAATTATATTTTTATTAAATATTTATTTATTTGTGGAAAATGCTTAGTCATCTAAAGTATGTTTATTTACACATTTTTAAATCCATTTTCAAATTTCTTAAATATTAATTAAAATAAAATTTATATCGGCCACCCTGCTTTCCAAGATATCGGCATCATTGTCAAAAAACCAATATCGGTCGACCACTATTTAAAACAAACAATTGGCAGTTTATACAAACTCCAAAGATTTAAGGAAAAAAGAGTAATAGAGGGCAGTAGGGCTTTTAATTCAACGTAAACTCTTGTGGCTTCTCTCTGACCACCTGTCACAAAAGACAATTTTTGAACACATTCATTGTATTGATTTTTACTAGTATTGACAATTGCCTTTTGATTGCCTTTCTTTGAACACATTATCATTTTAGAAAAAGCCAATAGCACTCAACCTGTAGTTAATATGTATTGATTTAAATCAGTACATACACCAATTTGAATACGTGTGTATATGTTGAATAAAACATATTGTGTATTTTAAAATTGCACTTAAATGTACATGATTTATTTTGAGATTGTATGGGTTTGTTATAAATCCATGCATTATTAATTTTATTTGTGAATTTTATCTTGGTCTTAGGTCCTGGTCTTATCTTGGCCTGTTATACTTTTTATCAGTTAATGCATTTCTTTCCAATGAGCACATGATTTTTTATTTTTTGGCTCCAACATAATCAATACCTGCTAATAAATCATTTTTCCGTTATCGTAGTTTATAGTTATATGCTAACCAAAGTGGGATTAACATTCAACTCGTTCTTCTTCATCAGTATTTGTGATTTGAATTTTGTGAACGCGAGTTCCTCATTTGCTATGTTATAAGCCTGGCTTCGGATGCTTTCGCTTTTGAATTTGCGATCTTGATATCACATTTTACAAGAAAAGATAATTGTCTGTTGTGCTTATATCTACTATACACCATTCACTTTTCACAGACTAAAACAATTATTTGAAAGATGGATTCATTATTCTTAATGAAAAGCACAACAACAATAAAACCGCTAATGACAAACTAGCTTATATAAAGTTTATTAACAAAAACAAATAAGACTAGGCATAGCATACACCATGTACTGTATTATATATATTGACTAATAAATTGCAGAATGTTTAGCAAACTGTGTGGAATCAAATAAATAAAAACAAATTAAAAGAGAGACTCAATAGCATAACCTGAGCTAAACCGCTTTTCAAAATGAAGACAAAAAGAAAAGAAACTAAATTGGCTGTCGCACACCTTTGCAGTCATACTGAAAACCAGTGGTGTAATGCAACGAAGTAATACTACTTCGTTACAGTAGTTAAGTATTTTTTGGGAGTATCTGTACTTTACTTGAGTTTTTATTAGGGATGCACCGATACCACTTTTTCCAGTACTCACCCGATACCGATACTTTTATTTTTGGTACTTGCCGATATCGAGTACCGATACCAATATTTTTATTGCATTTTTAAAAATATTATTACAGCTCTAGATGAAGCATGACTTTATTAGAGCCATAAAGACAAACGTTTTGCTGAAAAATGCACAATACATAATTTATAGCCTAGGGTGAAGTCATTATGTACATTCACAACGATTTGGGACAAATGTTATGTTATTTAATAGAAAACTGTGAATGGCGCTCTGTTCCGCAGCAGGATTTTCTGTCGGCTGCATTTAAATGTGCATCTGGAGTCATGTGTCAAAATAAACAACACGTTCTGTCAGTGATTTTCACCACTAGAGGCCACTCTCATACTGTATAATGCCAGCAGACCCTTCTCAGCCCCTCCAGCAATGAATGCAAACCGGAAAACTATTTTGCCGATAACCGATAGTTCCAGCAATCAACTATCGATGCCGATTAATCGGCAAAACCGATGAACAAGTTGACCTCTAGTTCATATTATGTTTAGGCATACTACTTTATGTATTTTAACAGTGTTGTTCAATAAACCATGTTGATTACTTGGTTTTGATACTTTATTTGAACAAATGATTGTCTCATCGTTAGTTTAATATATATACAAATATAGTCATACTAAAGCCTGTTTTCACTTAGGTCTATTTTTATTACTAAACATATCAGATAATATTTACTACTGCTAAAAATATATTACTCAACTGTCAAAATAATCAGTAGATTATGTGATTACCAAAATAATAATTATGCTCTAGATTAGTTAAAATATTTAAAAATACTTTGTTTTGCTTTTTGTGATTAAAAGAGAGATTTAGTCATTTAAATTCTTAAAAATAGTATTAAAATATTGTCTCGTTCTAGTAAACCAAGTATCTGTATTTTGTCTCATCTCATGAACTAAGTGTATTGTCACACCGCTAGTGTCTACAAGCATGATTTGGCTCATAACTTTCCAAGTGTATGATGAAGCTTTTACTCTTCAATCATATATTCATGAAAAAAATTACTTTGAATAAGGAAAGCGATAACTTTGCCATTAGTATCCTTTCAAATGTTAAAGTTGCCATTGCATGCTTTGCATGTGCTGCAATTTATTTGTAACATTTTGTTTTATTAGAATATGAAAGATAATAATGATACTGTGATCTCTGATTTTAGTTCTTGAAAACCAAAAAAGTAGTGCTTAAAGTCCTTGAACGTCCTGGAATTTCATTTTGCAGTTTCTGTGCGAAACCTGTATTCAGTTAAACCCACTAGATGTGGCGCTGCTACGAAAAAGAGAACAGCAATGCGGAGGTGTTGTTGTTGTTGTTGTTTACGGTGAAACCGAAACAAAGCCATTCACACAATGTATATTTATTGCATTTTCTAGAGGGACATCTATCACCGTTGCACTCACGTCTCCCACAAGAGAGCCGCACGTTTAGAAAGCCATGGAAAATTAATGCAACTTCAACTTTTAAAAAAACATGTCTCGAGACTTTATGGCGGTTTTCCCCCATCCCACTGCATCTCATGTTTTTAAATAGAAAAAAGTGCTCTTTGTGATTGGTTTTCGGTCCTTTGTATTAAACTATACATGCATACATGATGCTGTTTTGTTTCTTATCGTTTAAGCAACTTAATTATATATGGTTAATAAACTATTTTAAACATTATGCTCTTTTTTCAAAGGTAGTCGTGTTATTTTATTGCTTTGAGGAAACGTGCATTAGTAATATTTTGCTCAATGCGCCCTCTTGTGACCTCAAGAGAAAAGCCAAAAGCTTTTTTCCCCCCTAACTAAAATTATGCCTTTTTAAATTTGAATATAATTTGAATATTGATAATATTCAAGTACAAAATTCAAATTTAGTGTTTCAGCCAGTTTGACAGCCCTACATAGCAGACGCTTTGGAGTAGAGCAGACCATGCACTCGCACAAATGTGAGAACGTCAAATTGTAACTTGCACATTCTCAAAAAATGGTCGCAGTCTAGAGCCCTGTAACATGATGAAAATGGCTTTTCTGCTTCTGTACTTTGTTGTTGGTGTACAGTTGTTTCACGTTCTTTGTTCTCGTTTCTGTAGCTTGCGTTTGAGGGAGATGATGAGACGCTCTCTCCGCGCTGCAGGTTTGGGCCGCCACGAATCTGGCCCTTCCTCCAGCGACCACCAAGACCCTGTTTCACCCCCTATTGCACCTCCCAGCTGGGTACCAGACCCTCCACCAATGGATCCTGGTGAGTTCAGCGGTTTTTGGGTCATAACTAGGGATGGGTACCGAGAACCGGTAATTTCTTGGAAGGTACGTAATTGGGTCAATACCGGACTACCGATAAGCTGAAGGTCAAACGATACTGTTTTCGGTACGTGCCTTTTTATCTCGGTATACTTCAATGTTAATGGCGAATTAGAAGCTGCTGCTTGCCATTTTCCTTCACTGAATGATGTGGCCAACGTTTGCTCGATGTGCGTGTGTCATATCCATGCGCATGTGCGATGTGTGTTTGCGTGCAATTAGTCATGGCGGCAAGAATGAAACATTCGAAAGTGTGGGCTCAAGTTACAAAACTAAGCGACACTAGTGTTGGCTGCAATATATGCAGTAGTGTAATAGTGAACAAAGGAGGCAACACTAGTAATATAATTAAACATTTACTAACAAAATACAACATCTACCTTAAGCAATGCGCTGTACTTTGTCTCCCGGCTCCAACTGCAACTCGCGAGACACATTCACATCAAATGTTAATTCAGCGGTAGATTTACACTCATGAGACACTGCACTTATCTCAAAAGTACATTATTTGCATGTGCTTTAAAGCTTTGCCGGTTAAACATTTAATTTGTGCACTGTTCTAACATGCGCTTATTCCGAGCGTGTACACCCAAAGCGTGCATACACTAAAAGGCATACGGCACCTGATTACTTATTTTAATTACCGTCTGATTGCGCTAATACTGTCAAAAACACACAAGGTTGACATATAAAAACACTTTAGTTATGTCTAAAGTGAAAGTAAACAGTTGAGAGAGAAACGGATGCGTGCAGCTCTTAAAGGGACAGTACTAAACATGCTGCCGCTTGTCATTAAAGGAATAGTTCACCCAAAAATTAATTTACTCAGTCATGTACCAAATTAATTTCTTTCTTGCGCTGAACACAAAAGATATTTTGAAGAATGTGGGTAACCAAACAGTTGCTTGTCCCCACTGACTTTGATTGTAGGAAAAAAAAAAAGGAAGTCACTGGCGACCAGCAGCTGTTTGGTTTCTCACATTCTTCAAAATAACTTATGTTCAACAGAAGAAAGAAACTCATTCAGGTTTAAAAAAAACTTGAGAGCGAGTAAATGATGACACAATTTTCATTTTTGGGTGAACTATTCATTTAATGTTAATAAAATAAAACATGGAGAAAAATAACTCGCTGCTCTTCACTGAATAACTTTAATACAGTTGCTAAAATTCAGCAGTATTAAAATAACTTTTCAGATCATATCTTTTTGCACCAAATAGTATCGATAAGTACCGTTATCGATAAGCAGTATCGGTATTGGTATCAGTATCGATAAAGTGAAAACGATACCCATCCCTAGTCATAACGGATGTAATGCATGCATGTGATGGCCTGATGTCTTACAAAACCATCTTCTCCACTAGACGGTGACATTGATTTCATCTTGGCCCCTGCAGTGGGCTCCCTTACCACTGCTTCCACAGGCACCAACCAGGGACCCAGCACTTCCATCATCCCAGGTATGTGAACCGGCCTCCCAAAGGACAATCTGCGCCAGTGGTTCTCGACTGGTTTTACTCCAGGACCTAGATTTTGCTTTGGACATCCATAATGACCCAATCAGAACAGTGTTACTTCAGTATAATTGATTAGTAGTATTATAATATAGTTTTTGTTGGTGTTCCTGTGGCTCAGTGGTAGAGCATTGCGTTAGCAGCGCAAAAGGTCGTGGGTTCAATTCCCTGGGAACACACATACTGGTAAAAAAATGTATGGATAAAAGCGTCTGCTAAATGCATTAATTATTAAAATTAAATTGTTAATATTTTGTATTAGATTTTCTTTTAATATTTTAATTTAATTTTAGTTAAAGTTGTTGTAATTTATTTTTGTCTTTTTATTATTATTTTTAAATATGACTAGTATTTAATTTAAAAAATATTTTTTGTTATTTTAGTAGTTTCAAGTTAAATTAAATGGAAATGTTGCCTTGGCAAATGACATAAAATACGTTTTTAAAAATATATATTTTATTTCATTTAGTGTTTATTTCAAGTAACAAAAAATATCATTTTTTAACTTGTGGTTTCAGTTAATGAAAATAACCCTGAATTAGAATATACATGCAACCTGTTTTTCAGTCACAATCCCTCCAGTTGAGAACCACTGCTCTGTGCTGTCATTTATAAAACTCTCTTGTAGCATGTTTTTAATATTTCCCATGTCTTCTCAAGGACCTTCTTCTGAACCATCAGTAGTGGAATCTAAAGACCGGAAGGCCAACGCACACCTGATACTGAAGCTGATGTGTGACAGCGTCGTCCTGCGACCTCACTTAAGAGAGCTGCTCTCTGCCAAGTACGGCACACTCCTGCTGCTCTAAGTGATAGCCAGCCTCTCTTTAGCAGACGTTGAGTGTTTGTTTTGCTGTTGTTTGATAGGGATGCTCGTGGGATGACTCCATTCATGTTGGCTGTGAGTGGGAGGGCTTACCCAGCAGCCATTACTGTTTTAGAAGCAGCACAGAAAATAGCCAAAGGTGAGTATATGGCTGCAGTTTAACTCCTTTGTGATTTTAGTATTAATAATATACATTATATACAGTGGGTACGGTAAGTATTCAGACCCCCTTAAATTTCACTCGTTGTTATATTGCAGCCATTTGCTAAAATCATTTAAGTTAATTTTTTTTCCTCATTAATGTACACACAGCACCCCATATTGACAGAAAAACACAGAATTGTTGACATTTTTGCGGATTTATTAAAAAAGAAAAACTGAAATATCACATGGTCCTAAGTATTCAGACCCTTTGCTCAGTATTTAGTAGAAGCACCCTTTTGATCTAATAAAAAAAAACAAAAATTAATTTAATTCTTTTTAGGTTTTTTTTTTTTTTTTCCCCCCCCCCCCAATATTTATTTAAGTTTTTTATTTTAATTTTGGAGTTTTGTCTTTTTTAGTTTTTTTTTTTTTAAATGTCTGCTGAGTTTGTATTTATTTTTGTTTTATTTTAGGATTTCAAGTTAAACTAAATGAAATTGAAAAATTTTATTTTTACTTTTTTCTTTTTCTTTTCAATTGTATTTAATTACAGTTAACACTATTTTATTTCAAGTAACAAATATTTTTAATGGGTTTAGTTAACTATAATAACCTTGGTTTAACTTGCTGAGATGCATTTGCCATGTTTCGAAATGTTTAGAGACCATTAGATGCCCTTTGGGGGCAGTCGCATGGCCTAATGGTTAGAGAGTCTGACTTGTAACCTAAAGATTGCGGATTTGAGTCTCAGGTCTGGCAGGGATTGTAGGTGGGGTGAGTGAATTACCAGCGCTCTCTCCACCTTCAGTACCACGACCGAGGTGAGACCCAACTGCTCCCCGGGCACGCCGCAGCATTGGCTGCCCACTGCTCTGGGTGTGTGTGTGTGTGTGTGTTTGTTCACTATTCAGTGCTGTGTGTGTGCACTTGGATGGGTTAAATGCAGAGCACAAATTCCAAGTATGAGACACCATACTTGGCCACACGTCACGTCCATTCCTTCCTTCCTTTCCTTTTTGTTTATAAATCTTACCTGGATCTCATATATGGTTTAGGTGAACTGGGTCTTGGAGAGAAAGAGGATGCAGCGTCTGTGTTCATGGAGATGATCTGTCCTTCAGGAACAAACCCAGATGACTCTCCCCTCTATGTCCTGTGCTGTAACGATACCTGCAGCTTCACCTGGACTGGAGCTGAACACATCAACCAGGTACAAACTCCAGTGAAATAAATTTTTCTGATTTTCTGAAGTGTATAATATTATTCATAAAGAAAAATGAAAGCTTGCTTTTTTGTATTAAATAGTTTTAAAGATATTTATTCTTTACATAAAAACCTGTTGAGAAGCACTGAGCTAAATGGTTTTATAGAATGGCACTGTGTGACTAACTGAACCTGTCTGTTTGCAGGACATCTTTGAGTGCAGAACTTGCGGCCTGCTGGAGTCTCTGTGCTGCTGCACTGAATGTGCCAGAGTTTGTCACAAGGGTCACGACTGCAAGTGAGTGCGCCTGCTATAAAATCATTTGAACTTGACACCTAATTTTCTGCCTCACCACATGTATCCTTGTGGAAGAGCAAAATCCAATATTACAAATAGTTTATTAATTGAAATAAAGCTGAAAGAAAATATAAATATTTAATGAAAAACTTAAATGAGAAATCTTGTCTCGACAACTAACTGAAATAAAATCAGTTGAAGTACTAAAATGACTAAAACTGAAAAAAAAAAAAAAAAAAGAAAACTAAAAAGAAATTAAATGAGAAGTAATAAAAATGACAAGCTTGTAACAATTACTGAAACTAAAATTAAAATGAAAACTATACATTTCTATACTATAAAATAATATAATATAAAAATAAAAGTTTACTTGTACTAAAAGTTTAAACATAGTAGGATAAATAATACAAAAATAACACTGATTTGCTACAAGCTTTGCATATTGCGATTTAATCCTACCTAACATTAAAGTTTTTAAAAATACTTTTACATTGCAATAATTTCACATTCAATCTTTAAATTAATGTAGAAACAACATAAAGACAGTGTATTTTTAATATTTGTATAATGGCATCTTTTTTTATGACTGAAGGCCAGTATCACTCTGATGTCTTTATGAAATAGTTTTTTCCCCTAATATTTAACCATTGATTAGCCATTCAACATTACAAAGCTATCAATTTTAACATTTATTAGACTACTTCAAATAACTTCTAATTTAAGTGAACTTATGACATTTATTATAATGGGTTTATGTGAAGATTGTTATATTTACCTGCGCCCTTAGGAAATATACAGAAATTGAAAACATTTATCAAACACTAGATTCTAAATTAAATATAGCTGAATCCTTAAAGCTACGAAAGTTATTGATTGATTCTTTTTTCTTTTGATCTTTGATTAATAGACATCACAGCAATTGGTCATTAGGTTTTTTGGCTGCTATTTCTTTAAGAGCTGCCGATTCTGAACGTAATGGGGATCTGACATGCATATCCTTACCTATTCTAACCCACTTCAGCTCTTAAAAGTCTCTGAGTTGAACCGATGGTGTTAGGTGAGGGAGACGGTGCTGGGCTGCTCCAGGGCAGTTTGGAAAACCACTGCATTTCAGAGATATATTCTTAAATGTGACTCATATTACAAATACATACATGCAAAGTTTTAAGGTAGCTTTAATCGCCTTTTTGGTAACTTCATGACTTAACTGACGACATAACTACGACATTGCATGCTCGTTATTTCTTTCGTGACTTGTATATGAAATGATACTGGCTACAGTGCGCGCTGTACTTACTGAAGTCTAACAAGTGGCTGCCAATTTAAAGTTTTCCAAAACTATTACTTATGTGGTTATGTTTCGGGTATAATAATCCCTTGAAGGCAGCAAGGTAGATCACTAGGTTGTAAAACCGTAATCTCTCTTGTTTCATCTCCAGACTGAAGCGAACGTCTCCCACTGCATACTGTGACTGCTGGGAGAAGTGTAAATGCAAGACCCTCATCGCGGGCCAGAAAGCAGCTCGTTTAGATCTGCTCTACAGGCTGCTGACCACCACTAATCTAGTTACCACTCCTAACAGCAGGTGTGTTCAAGGAATGAGTACTTTAAGTCCTGTTCCAACTTTCTGTTGTCAAACCATATTATGGGGTCATCAGGGCAACATCCAGTCAGTGTTCTGTGTCACTGTTTGTGTCTGGCAGGGGAGAGCACATCTTGCTATTCCTGGTGCAGACTGTTGCAAGGCAGAGCGTGGAGCATTGCCAGTATCGACCACCTCGCATTCGAGAGGACAGGAATCGGAAGGCCGCCACCGCTGAAGGTGTGTCTTTGAGTAGGGCCGGATTCACAAAAATCTTAAGAAATTTCTTAAAAACATTCTTAACTTATTTTAAGTGCAATGTCAGGCATAATCATTATTATGAATAATCATGGTTTACATTATCAATCATTGGTCTCACTTCAGAGTAATTGTGCCCATTCTTGATAGTAAAATGTGTTTGTAGTGTTGTTTTGCAAGGCTTAATTACAACAATTAATCAGAAACAAGAAATGCAATGAAAAATACATAGATTTTTTTTATTTTATTTGATATTTTACCTGTGTGATTTTAAGTCAAGTTGGATGTTATCCTAAATTTAGGAGGTTATTTATGATCATTTTTAAAGGGGTCATATGATGCGATTTCAAGTTTTCCTTTCTCTTTGGAGTGTTACGAGCTCTTGGTGCATAAAGAAGATCTGTAAAGTTGCAAAGACTAAAGTCTCAAAGAGATTCTTTATAAAAGTTAAGTCAACCACACCTACTTAAAACGGCTCGTTCTAACACGCCCCCAGATATCTATGTCACTGTGGAAATATTAGCATAATGCCGCCCAAATGTGCACGCAAAGAAAGAAGGCGTGGTTTCAGGAACAGCAGTAGTGTTGATGCAGCCATGTCAGGGAGATGCTGTGTATTTCAGTGCGAAAGCAAAAGCACTTTATTTGGCCTTCCGGAAGTAGATGCAATTAGGAATCATTGGTTAAGATTTATTTACAACAGAACAGCACAGAGTAGCAAAATAGCAGTTTTTATTCTTAAGAATGTTTTATAAATCTGGCGCCTGGATTCCTAGGGGCAACACGAAACTGTGTTTGCAATGCTTTAAACTTTTGCTGCAAAGAAATGGAGATATGGAGGACTGGGAAATACCAACGTGCAATAATCAAGACGAGATGTTACAAAGGCATGGATGGCTGTTTCAAGATTTTTCCTAGATGGAAAGGGCTTAGCTTTACTGAGAAGACGAAGTTGGTAAAAACAAGACTTGATTACAGCTAATATCTGCTTATCAAACTTTAAACTAAAGTCAAATAGTCCCAATGCCCAAGTTCCTGGCACACTGTGTATTATGCGGAGTGAGGAAGCCAAGATCAAAATTAAAAACAACATTTTCCTTTGGACCAAACAAGATAATTTCCGATTTGTTTTCATTCAGGTGTAAGAAATAGTTTGAAAGCCATAACTTAAGTTTATTTAGGCAATCTAACTGTGGCTTAAGAGAATACTTATTATTACGTTGTAGGGGAAGATAAAGCTGGGTATTGTCAGCGTATAGATGAAGAGAGACACCTTTTTTTTTTTTAAATGGAAGCCAAGGGGAGCAAATACATGGTAAACAACACAGGGACAAGGATTGAACCTTGCGGAACACCACAACCAAGAGGAATGTCAGAAGAACAGTAATGCCCTAATCAAACAGTAAAACTAAAACACCTATTTGACAAATAAGAGCGAAACCACTGTAAAACCATACCACAAAGTCCTACACAAGACTCCAGGCGTGACAGAAGAATGTTGTGGTAAACTAAATCAAATACAGCACTTCGGTCTAAGAGCCATGGGTTTCCCTGAATCTGTCGTGAGAAATGTCATTTAAGATTATTAACAGGGCCGATTCAGTGCTATGTAAAGCTTTAAAACCTGATTGAAAGACTTCATTAATAGTTATCCGTCAAGAAATACTGTAGTTGAGCCAGTACAACTCAACATGTTAATGGTTTTATTGTGCATGATTAGTGAATGTATGGAGAATATAGTTTTTTTTGTTTTGTGTTCTTTAATGTGTGTCTGTCTTTCTCTCAGACTCCGATATGCCGGATCATGACCTGGAGCCTCCTCGCTTCGCCCAGCTGGCTCTAGAGCGCGTGTTGCAGGACTGGAACGCGCTGAAGTCCATGATAATGTTCGGCTCTCAGGAAAACAAAGACCCGTGAGTAGAACGTTGAACATTAGCAAATTTCATTGTACATATTCAGCTTTCAAGATGTTTTTGTGGACATAACGTGTCGTATTGTTTCAGACTAAGTGCCAGCAGCAAAATCGCTCACCTTTTGCCAGAAGAGCAGATGTACCTGAACCAGCAGAGCGGCACCATCAGACTAGACTGTTTCACACATGGCCTCATCGTCAAGTGTGCACCAGACATCACTGTGAGTCAAAGAAACTGCAGTTGTGCTTTTACATCCATGAATATTTCATTATTTTCAGGGTTCCCACTCTAAGCCAAATGTCAAATTCCCTGACTATTCCCTGACTTTTCCCTGACTTTCACTGACTAAAAAGCTGAATTTCAGTTACCTATAATGAACGGAAAAAACAGGCTGCTGTTGTGCTTAGCACTGAGCAGACAAAAACCAGCCACAAACAGTATTTTAAATCTATCCATTTGCAAGCTTTATTTACTTGTTCACAGATGTTTTTAGTACAAAACTAAGTTAAACACATGCACTACTTTTTTTTTTTTTTGCTTTTACCCATTAAATGCACTTTGATGTTTTTCTGTACTATTTCTACAGAAATTAATTTATGGTTTTTATGCTTTCAGGGATTAAACACTCTGAAGGATTTTCAAGTTCACCATTCAGTCGTTTAGTTTTTGCTTTTCTGTCATCTACTTTTAACACCCAGTAGGGATGTAACGATTCACTCAACTCACGATTCGATTCACGATTTTGATTTCACGATTCGATTTGATTCACGATTTATTATTTTTTTTTACAAAATGAGATTTAAGACGAATTATAAATTAAATGTGTCCTTTTTATTATTGGACAAAATGCTGCACATTTCTTTGTAAAATTGAAATATAACACTATAATAATATAATAATATAGCACTTGCATATTATTGCTCTTTTGTTGGTTTTGATTGCATCTATTGCCCTCATTAAGAGGCAACCACTACATTTTAATCATGATCTAAACAAAGATACTGCATACATGCAACATGAGCAGTTTTTAATCTAAATTAGATTGTATCTCTCATTTGGTGCATTAATATAACATTACAATTGCAATTATATAATAATTATATAACCTATTATTTTCATTTTATACTTACTATATTGAACTTTTATATAGTTTTAAAAAAAAATTGTCTAAAGGTTTAGTAAACGGTTCCATTTAAAAAAATTAGATCAATTCAGATGTCAGGCTTTTCAGAGATAAGAATATATATTGATTTTCCTTCTTAATGGAAGAATAATAATCACATTGCTCATGCTCCCATTCTCTCTCTTTTGTTTTTCCTTCAGTAACTTCATCCCGCAGCCCATTGGGAAGTGCAGGCGTGTTTTCCAGGCTTTGTTGCCGTACGCAGTGGAAGAGCTCTGCAATGTGGCCGAGTCCCTGATCGTGCCGGTGCGGATGGGCATCGCTCGCCCTACAGCGCCCTTCACTCTGGCCAGTACCAGCATCGACGCTGTACAGGGCAGCGAGGAGCTCTTCTCTGTGGAGCCCCTGCCGCCACGACCCTCCCCGGATCAGTCCAGCAGGTGAGTGACGCTTCAGTCGACTGAAAATCTACCTGTAGCGTCCTGCATCTCAGTGGTTTTCAACGTTTTTGACTCCAAGCCTCCCATGTAGACTATTAGGTTTCCTCTGGTACATCTGCTACAATCACAAAGTTTAATTTCAAAGCTTTTTCTAATTTACAGAAATTGAGTGTCAATACAGGGCTCCAGACTGCGACCATTTTTTTCTGCCTGTGCCACTAAATTTTGTGCGCTCGCACTGGCACGACCACCGCAGTTTTTGATTTATAAGCACTGCCATTTCTGTTGCATATGAGAATCCTCAAACGGCAATCGAAACTGAAAGCATAACGAAATTGTGCTATTCATTTGAACTGTGCAGGCTTCGAGTGTAGAGCCTGGTTTATACTTGCCGCGTCAGCAGGAGCAAGAAGGTGCGCGCAGCAAAAATTACGCCAATATTGAGGAAACGATGGATGGTTTTCAAGTGAAAGTAAAGTAAAAGACCGCTTCTTAAACCAGAGAAGGTGAACATGTTGGTATTCTTGTGGGAGAAAAAAAAACATGCAAGCACTGTCACCGACAGCAAGTTTAGTTTTACTTTTCTTTTTGTTTTCATTTTGAAAAGCTTGTTATCTTTGCTGTTTACCTCGCGTTACGCTATGGAGGCTCTTTTATAAATTTTTTTATTTGATTCCTCTGTTTGCTAAACGTTCTGTACTTTATTAGTCTGTATATAATACAGCATGTGGTGTGTGCCATGCCTCATTTTATTCGTTTTTGTAAATAAACTGTTTGTAAGCTAGTTTGTCATTATATCTTACCGTTTTATTGTTGTTGTGCTTTTTATTGTTGTTGTGAACAATGAATCCATCTTTTGTTTTAGTCTTAAAAAGTGAAAGGTGTGTAGATGTTTGTAAAACATGACAAGATCGCGAATTCGAAAGTGAAAGCATCCGAAGCCCAGCTTATAACATGGCAAAAGAGGGACTCTCGTTAACAAAATTCAAATCACAAATAATACTACTGATGAAAAAGAACGGGTTGAATGTTAACCACTTTCATTTCCATATAACTATAAACTATGATAAAAGTTCATCAGCATGCATTGATTAATACCATGTTGTAGCGCAAAAAAAATAAAATAAAAAATAGTGCGACCAAATCATGCTTTGACAATTTCATTTACCTGCCATGTAGAAATCTTACTTTAACATGCTAACACGTTAGTAGCTTAACAAAGTCACTTGTCTCATGTTCATCATATATATATCAAATATGTGGTTACATACTAGAAATGATGCATTGTTTGCTGGTTTAAGGGTGTCACAACTTTAGCCATTGACATTTCTTACCCCACTCTATATTGAAAGGTCGCAAGTGTCACTGGAAGATGTATATATTTTTTTTATGCTGCGCTATTTTACAAGATTTTATATAATAATTATATAACCTATTATTTTCATTTTATACTTACTATATTGAACTTTATATAGTTTTAAAAAAAATTTGTCTAAAGGTTTAGTAAACGGTTCCATTTAAAAAAATTAGATCAATTCAGATGTCAGGCTTTTCAGAGATAAGAATATATATTGATTTTCCTTCTTAATGGAAGAATAATAATCACATTGCTCATGCTCCCATTCTCTCTCTTTTGTTTTTCCTTCAGTAACTTCATCCCGCAGCCCATTGGGAAGTGCAGGCGTGTTTTCCAGGCTTTGTTGCCGTACGCAGTGGAAGAGCTCTGCAATGTGGCCGAGTCCCTGATCGTGCCGGTGCGGATGGGCATCGCTCGCCCTACAGCGCCCTTCACTCTGGCCAGTACCAGCATCGACGCTGTACAGGGCAGCGAGGAGCTCTTCTCTGTGGAGCCCCTGCCGCCACGACCCTCCCCGGATCAGTCCAGCAGGTGAGTGACGCTTCAGTCGACTGAAAATCTACCTGTAGCGTCCTGCATCTCAGTGCAAAAGTTAGTCGCAAAAGAGTGACCAGTGGGAAGAATGAGTCTGGAGCCCTGCAATATATTAAAATTTGGAACTAAAATAATTATAATTATAATCATTACACTTCAGAATTGCAGAATATACTTCAGGGTTTCTTCTCTTTTTAGCCAGTGAATTTACATGATGTTTTCAGTCATTTGTGCTCTACTGGATACAAATTAAAGATCAAGATTTAAAAAATAAATAAATACTTCACTCTATTTTAACCAATTAAAATATTTTAGGGCTCAGCGTAACTAAAAAAAAGTTTTTTTTTCTCCACTCCTAAAGCGTTTTTTTAATCTCTAAATTAGGGATGGGCATTCCAAGCAAAAATAATGTTCAAAAATCGCTGGGTATTATTCAAAAATCACACCCCTCCCCCGCAAGCACGCATAAACACCCATAAACAGAGATAGATGGAGAGAGACGGGATTCATGCTTTCAATCTGTATGATAAACTCTTTAATTCAGAAGTTAGGCTACCTTAACTCAAGCCATATAATGATTGTAACGTGCTGAAACACAATTAATACAATAAACCTAACCGAAAGACGGCACTTATTAACATAACAGTCCGTCGATTAGCATAAATCAACTGCTCATAAGGCTAGGACATTTCCATTTTAAAAAATGGAATCCCTGAAGGGAATAGATAAGAGATGGGAGGAAAAATATACTTCAATATCTTCTGTCGCAATTATATCTTTGGGTAATTACACTATGTAAACGGTGGGCATCAGGGAGCCGTTATTAATATGCGGTGCATTGAAATCGAAAAACTTTTTAGTCAAGATGTTGGCCAACCTAAACAAGCCATATAATGATTGTAACGTGCTGAAACACAATTAATACAATAAACCTAACCGAAAGACGGCACTTATTAACATAACAGTCCGTCGATTAGCATAAATCAACTGCTCATAAGGCTAGGACATTTCCATTTTAAAAAATGGAATCCCTGAAGGGAATAGATAAGAGATGGGAGGAAAAATATACTTCAATATCTTCTGTCGCAATTATATCTTTGGGTAATTACACTATGTAAACGGTGGGCATCAGGGAGCCGTTATTAATATGCGGTGCATTGAAATCGTTTATGAACGGTCGCTTGTTTTTCCCTTTCACTTTCGAGATTCGCGATCACATACGGAGCAGCACTCGGCAATACTTACCACACATTTGACAAGATTAGATGTTTGTCAGTTGTGCTCAGGATCTGTAAATCATTCGCCATCAACCTATCAGTCATCTCTCCTTACTCTGTTTATGTGGTGAGTGAAATGTTATGTACTGTAATGTAACAGGCTACCGTTAGCAAGCGGCTAATCATGTCCCTTTAGTGGCTCCGTAGAATGCGGGTTTTTTTTTTCTTCGATGCATTTCTGAATACGGATTCAGCCACACCTCTAACCCAGTCGGGGTGTTTGTGGTCCACACAGAGCTTATTTGACATCGTCCCAAGTTACTGTAACCATTATATGCTACGCAAGTCTTTTTTTTTTTTTTTTGCCACGCAAGTCTACAGTGTGTGCGTGAGACAATGTTTTCTTCAGTTGTCTTTGACAGCTTTTAGGTGCGTTGTTGGCAGCGCCACCCTCTGCTTACATGAACACGCGTTCACCACTGCATTAGCACAGAAAACATGGGGACATTTTTTAAGACCATAATCGCACAACCTATTTGATATTCTATAATTAAATCAACTAATTGAATATTCGAAAATCGTGACCCATCCCTACTCTAAATCATCATTATATTGCATTATATTATATTTTGCCCCCCACAATTTAAACTACAGAGCTTTTTCTATCCAATAAAATATTTTATAGCTTGGCATAACTAGAAAAATATATATTAAAAAAAATTTATTAATTTATGTACATGAGTTTTCAGGTCTAGAAATCACATTTTTAGGGGGTTTTTTTTGGCTAAAAGTAGGTTTTATATATACTGTTTTTTCCAAGACAATGGTAATTCCGTCTTGATGTGAATTAAAATAAATATTTTTTTTATAATTTAAGCTATTTTAAAGCTTATTTAAAAAACATGTTAAGTCATTATAACACCACCTTGGAAGTTTGCTGAGGCCACTGGATTGAGAACCACTATTGTAGATTAAGAATTAGAAAAAATATATACTGTCAAATAAAAATAAAGAAAATAAGAATAATCTATCTAACTACAAGCAACAGCACAAATAAATACAATAGAGTACTAAATCATCATTATATTGCATTATATTATATTTTGCCCCCCACAATTTAAACTACAGAGCTTTTTCTATCCAATAAAATATTTTATAGCTTGGCATAACTAGAAAAATATATATATAAAAAAAAAATTATTAATTTATGTACATGAGTTTTCAGGTCTAGAAATCACATTTTTAGGGGGTTTTTTTTGGCTAAAAGTAGGTTTTATATATACTGTTTTTTCCAAGACAATGGTAATTCCGTCTTGATGTGAATTAAAATAAATATTTTTTTTATAATTTAAGCTATTTTAAAGCTTATTTAAAAAACATGTTAAGTCATTAAAAAAAATTTATTAATTTATGTACATGAGTTTTCAGGTCTAGAAATCACATTTTTAGGGGGGTTTTTTTGGCTAAAAGTAGGTTTTATATATACTGTTTTTTCCAAGACAATGGTAATTCCGTCTTGATGTGAATTAAAATAAATATTTTTTTATAATTTAAGCTATTTTAAAGCTTATTTAAAAAACATGTTAAGTCATTATAACACCACCTTGGAAGTTTGCTGAGGCCACTGGATTGAGAACCACTATTGTAGATTAAGAATTAGAAAAAATATATACTGTCAAATAAAAATAAAGAAAATAAGAATAATCTATCTAACTACAAGCAACAGCACAAATAAATACAATAGAGTAAAGATACAAATAAAATAGTGATTTTCAGGTTTTTTAGTTAGGTCTAACATTAGTTTTTAGGTACAGAAATTGAATAAAGTAATGTAAATGTAAAATAACATTGCATATTTTACTGTATAAATTAAAGTTACAAAAGCTCTTCAATCAAGAGCAGTGAGTGATTTCCTTGTTGTTGCTGTATGATTAATATTAATAAAATAGAAAGTGCTGTCACTTTAAGAGAATGCACTGATCCAGTGCATTGAAACTGTACGTTGAGCCGGCTATGTCTGCTATAGGATATTTACCAAGATGGTCATTTTGACATAATTTTTGTGTGAATTTGTCCATTCAAACGCAATACTTCACAGAGAGCTTAATATTTTCATGTGTTCTGAGGCGTGGGTTTGTGCGTTTCGGATGAGCGCACGCACAAATCTTCTCACTGTGCGCGCGAGCTCGTGTCTTCTGTCTCTTAAATGTTTAAACTGGCAAAGCTTAAATGAGTTTACTTTAAACACCGATATCAACGTGTGCTGTTCAGGTCTCACCTGTGCATGTTGTGCCATCAGCACGATGACGGAATAAATGACTGCTCATATTACAGCATACAGCACTTGCATTGAACAAGAGTGAATGCTTTGTCCACTTTTTTTTTTTTCTTTTCCATCGCTGTTGTTTTAATGTATTGGGAAGCCAGAATGTGCATCCATCAACAGAAACATGCATTAGCCGAACCCTGTTTGTTTTACGTGTTGTTTATAGCAAACCATATTACTGATGTGTTGTCAGAATTAAGTTGAAGCTGTTGCTATACTGACGCTATTGCAGAGTACTCTAATAGAGCTTATTGAAGTTGTCATTAATGCTGGTGTTGTCTGCTGTCTTGTGCCTCTCAGCTCCAGTCAGTCAGCCTCTTCTTACATCATCAGGAACCCTCAGCCCCGCCGCAGCAGCCAGTCCCAAACGGCCCGTGGCCGCGACGAGGAGCAGGATGATATTGTTTCTGCTGATGTAGAAGAGGTGCGATGCTATATTGTTCTATCACTTGTTTTAAAGTTTGTTTGTTTTGCCTGAAGCTCTTTCTTTAAATGCTCCTTGGCTGTTCACTTGTTCAGGTGGAGGTTGTGGAGGGCGTTGCAGGTGAGGAGGATCACCATGATGACCAGGAGGAGCAGGGCGAGGAGAACGCAGAGGCCGAAGGGCAGCATGATGAGCACGATGAAGATGGTAAACACATGATTGCACAGACACTATACGCTTAACAGGACTTGCGAATGAGACACAGAAATTTGTTTCATCTCATAAGGTGTTATTTACGTTCTTAGAACACATGCCAGTATGGCTGAGTGATAAATCAATATTTATCTGGAAAAATTAAAGGTCTTAAGAACAAACCACCAAAGTAAAAGTTTGGTTTAACTTGAAGAAAATGTGACAAGAATAATATGACCTTTTTTAATAGTTAAATGTAGTCCTCCTCATTTTCAAAATAAGGAATATTATGCAACCCAAGATATTTTTTATCCATGATTTAATAATTAAGTTCTGTTTTGCAGCAACTTATTTCACAAAAAAAGAAAGAAAAAAAAATAGATTTTGTAAATTGTTATATTTTCATTTCATTGCATTTTAAAAGATCGATTAATTTGTTGAATGTTTATTAATGCATTTAATTAGACTATTTTTGATAATAATTTTGTGCTAAATAATAAAAAACGGAATCCAGAAAAAAATAAAAGGGGAAACAGAATTTGTGGGGGAAAAAATGTTTGATTTCATGGGGACCTAAATTATTAGTTTACTATAATTAGTTTACTATGTGGCGTTCACTTGTAAACAGACAAGTTATGTTTACATTCATTCTTCACATCTAACAAACATGTGAGATGTATTTCCTTCCCATTAATGGTATGAAGTGAATATTGTGATAAATATCGATATCGAATGATATGGAAAAAAATACCGTGATAATATTTTTGCCTGTATTGCCCAGCCCTACATGGCAGTGCATTTCCTGCTGCGCTATTAAGAATTTTTGTATTATAAGAAAAACACAAATGTGTTTGAAACACTGGTGCTCGTTGTCCTTTTGTCTAGAAGCCAACAGTTTCTTCTATAAATGAAGCTGAGGTGACAAAAAATTGCTAATCGTTTTTCTTACAGGGAGCGACATGGAGCTGGATTTATTGGCTGCTGCTGAGACCGAGAGTGACAGCGAGAGTAACCATAGCAACCAAGACAATGCCAGTGGCCGCAGGAGCGTTGTGACCGCCGCCACCGCTGGATCTGAAGCAGGTGCTTCACTTTATCAAAATTGCAGCAATTACTGTAATTGTGGTGCTCCCTCCTATTTTGTTTTGCTTTCCACATTAACCTGCTGAGTGTACAGGAAGCTATAATGGCTTCAGATAAAAACTATAAACGCATTTTGTTTTGAATTTGTCCCTGTGGCACCTGTAGAATTATATTTGGTGGGTCAACCAGTCTATTTTTCATTTTTCCTATCAAATTGAGTGTTTATCTACTTTTGGCAGAAATGACAGACTAACTAGTCTATACTAATCTAACTAATGTATCTAAGTTTGACCCTGGAGCACAAAAGCAGTCAAGTAGCACAGGTATATTTGTAGCAATAGCCAACAATACATTGTGAGTCATAATTATCGGGATGATATTTGGACAACTTTAAAGGTGATTTTGTCTTTTATTTATTTTTTATTTATTTTTTTTGCACCCTCAGATTCCAGATTTTCAAATAGTTGTATCTCAGCCAAATATTGTCCTATCCTAACAAATCAATGGAAAGCTTATTTATTCAGCTTTCAGATAATGTATAAATTTCAATTTAGAAAAATTGACCCTTATGACTGGTTTTGTGGTCCAGGGTACTTATTTTGCTTAATTTACCCAAAATTTATTTATTTTAAATGTTTATATTTATTTATTTATTTATTTAAATGACCATGTACATTAATCCACATTCAGATAAATGTAAATGTACCCGAGTTATCCAAAAAGCCATTTTTTGTTGGCAGATGCTTTGCCTGATGTTGTAGAAAAACAAATGAGAAAAAACAAAAAGAAAAGGGGAAAAAAATCAAACAACAATGAAGAACAAAGAGGGACAAAAGCGTGAGACAATGTTTTCTTCAGTTGTCTTTGACAGCTTTTAGGTGCGTTGTTGGCAGCGCCACCCTCTGCTTACATGAACACGCGTTCACCACTGCATTAGCACAGAAAACATGGGGACATTTTTTAAGACCATAATCGCACAACCTATTTGATATTCTATAATTAAATCAACTAATTGAATATTCGAAAATCGTGACCCATCCCTACTCTAAATCATCATTATATTGCATTATATTATATTTTGCCCCCCACAATTTAAACTACAGAGCTTTTTCTATCCAATAAAATATTTTATAGCTTGGCATAACTAGAAAAATATATATATAAAAAAAAAATTATTAATTTATGTACATGAGTTTTCAGGTCTAGAAATCACATTTTTAGGGGGTTTTTTTTGGCTAAAAGTAGGTTTTATATATACTGTTTTTTCCAAGACAATGGTAATTCCGTCTTGATGTGAATTAAAATAAATATTTTTTTATAATTTAAGCTATTTTAAAGCTTATTTAAAAAACATGTTAAGTCATTATAACACCACCTTGGAAGTTTGCTGAGGCCACTGGATTGAGAACCACTATTGTAGATTAAGAATTAGAAAAAATATATACTGTCAAATAAAAATAAAGAAAATAAGAATAATCTATCTAACTACAAGCAACAGCACAAATAAATACAATAGAGTAAAGATACAAATAAAATAGTGATTTTCAGGTTTTTTAGTTAGGTCTAACATTAGTTTTTAGGTACAGAAATTGAATAAAGTAATGTAAATGTAAAATAACATTGCATATTTTACTGTATAAATTAAAGTTACAAAAGCTCTTCAATCAAGAGCAGTGAGTGATTTCCTTGTTGTTGCTGTATGATTAATATTAATAAAATAGAAAGTGCTGTCACTTTAAGAGAATGCACTGATCCAGTGCATTGAAACTGTACGTTGAGCCGGCTATGTCTGCTATAGGATATTTACCAAGATGGTCATTTTGACATAATTTTTGTGTGAATTTGTCCATTCAAACGCAATACTTCACAGAGAGCTTAATATTTTCATGTGTTCCGAGGCGTGGGTTTGTGCGTTTCGGATGAGCGCACGCACAAATCTTCTCACTGTGCGCGCGAGCTCGTGTCTTCTGTCTCTTAAATGTTTAAACTGGCAAAGCTTAAATGAGTTTACTTTAAACACCGATATCAACGTGTGCTGTTCAGGTCTCACCTGTGCATGTTGTGCCATCAGCACGATGACGGAATAAATGACTGCTCATATTACAGCATACAGCACTTGCATTGAACAAGAGTGAATGCTTTGTCCACTTTTTTTTTTTTCTTTTCCATCGCTGTTGTTTTAATGTATTGGGAAGCCAGAATGTGCATCCATCAACAGAAACATGCATTAGCCGAACCCTGTTTGTTTTACGTGTTGTTTATAGCAAACCATATTACTGATGTGTTGTCAGAATTAAGTTGAAGCTGTTGCTACACTGACGCTATTGCAGAGTACTCTAATAGAGCTTATTGAAGTTGTCATTAATGCTGGTGTTGTCTGCTGTCTTGTGCCTCTCAGCTCCAGTCAGTCAGCCTCTTCTTACATCATCAGGAACCCTCAGCCCCGCCGCAGCAGCCAGTCCCAAACGGCCCGTGGCCGCGACGAGGAGCAGGATGATATTGTTTCTGCTGATGTAGAAGAGGTGCGATGCTATATTGTTCTATCACTTGTTTTAAAGTTTGTTTGTTTTGCCTGAAGCTCTTTCTTTAAATGCTCCTTGGCTGTTCACTTGTTCAGGTGGAGGTTGTGGAGGGCGTTGCAGGTGAGGAGGATCACCATGATGACCAGGAGGAGCAGGGCGAGGAGAACGCAGAGGCCGAAGGGCAGCATGATGAGCACGATGAAGATGGTAAACACATGATTGCACAGACACTATACGCTTAACAGGACTTGCGAATGAGACACAGAAATTTGTTTCATCTCATAAGGTGTTATTTACGTTCTTAGAACACATGCCAGTATGGCTGAGTGATAAATCAATATTTATCTGGAAAAATTAAAGGTCTTAAGAACAAACCACCAAAGTAAAAGTTTGGTTTAACTTGAAGAAAATGTGACAAGAATAATATGACCTTTTTTAATAGTTAAATGTAGTCCTCCTCATTTTCAAAATAAGGAATATTATGCAACCCAAGATATTTTTTATCCATGATTTAATAATTAAGTTCTGTTTTGCAGCAACTTATTTCACAAAAAAAGAAAGAAAAAAAAAATAGATTTTGTAAATTGTTATATTTTCATTTCATTGCATTTTAAAAGATCGATTAATTTGTTGAATGTTTATTAATGCATTTAATTAGACTATTTTTGATAATAATTTTGTGCTAAATAATAAAAAACGGAATCCAGAAAAAAATAAAAGGGGAAACAGAATTTGTGGGGGAAAAAATGTTTGATTTCATGGGGACCTAAATTATTAGTTTACTATAATTAGTTTACTATGTGGCGTTCACTTGTAAACAGACAAGTTATGTTTACATTCATTCTTCACATCTAACAAACATGTGAGATGTATTTCCTTCCCATTAATGGTATGAAGTGAATATTGTGATAAATATCGATATCGAATGATATGGAAAAAAATACCGTGATAATATTTTTGCCTGTATTGCCCAGCCCTACATGGCAGTGCATTTCCTGCTGCGCTATTAAGAATTTTTGTATTATAAGAAAAACACAAATGTGTTTGAAACACTGGTGCTCGTTGTCCTTTTGTCTAGAAGCCAACAGTTTCTTCTATAAATGAAGCTGAGGTGACAAAAAATTGCTAATCGTTTTTCTTACAGGGAGCGACATGGAGCTGGATTTATTGGCTGCTGCTGAGACCGAGAGTGACAGCGAGAGTAACCATAGCAACCAAGACAATGCCAGTGGCCGCAGGAGCGTTGTGACCGCCGCCACCGCTGGATCTGAAGCAGGTGCTTCACTTTATCAAAATTGCAGCAATTACTGTAATTGTGGTGCTCCCTCCTATTTTGTTTTGCTTTCCACATTAACCTGCTGAGTGTACAGGAAGCTATAATGGCTTCAGATAAAAACTATAAACGCATTTTGTTTTGAATTTGTCCCTGTGGCACCTGTAGAATTATATTTGGTGGGTCAACCAGTCTATTTTTCATTTTTCCTATCAAATTGAGTGTTTATCTACTTTTGGCAGAAATGACAGACTAACTAGTCTATACTAATCTAACTAATGTATCTAAGTTTGACCCTGGAGCACAAAAGCAGTCAAGTAGCACAGGTATATTTGTAGCAATAGCCAACAATACATTGTGAGTCATAATTATCGGGATGATATTTGGACAACTTTAAAGGTGATTTTGTCTTTTATTTATTTTTTATTTATTTTTTTTGCACCCTCAGATTCCAGATTTTCAAATAGTTGTATCTCAGCCAAATATTGTCCTATCCTAACAAATCAATGGAAAGCTTATTTATTCAGCTTTCAGATAATGTATAAATTTCAATTTAGAAAAATTGACCCTTATGACTGGTTTTGTGGTCCAGGGTACTTATTTTGCTTAATTTACCCAAAATTTATTTATTTTAAATGTTTATATTTATTTATTTATTTATTTAAATGACCATGTACATTAATCCACATTCAGATAAATGTAAATGTACCCGAGTTATCCAAAAAGCCATTTTTTGTTGGCAGATGCTTTGCCTGATGTTGTAGAAAAACAAATGAGAAAAAACAAAAAGAAAAGGGGAAAAAAATCAAACAACAATGAAGAACAAAGAGGGACAAAAATTTTTTAATTCCTATACCTGGAGTGTCATCAAATAGAATTGCAAATAATTAATTTTCAAACGTTTTTGTAACACCTCACATTTGCTGTAGGTCAAACGAACACGTAGCCCTTCCCAAAACTCACGCCATTGGTTGAGCACATGCGTCACTCGTAGGGTTGCAAAGGGATGGAAAATTTCCGATAAATTTCCGGAAACTTTCCAAAAATCCCTGGAATATTCAAAAAAATCCTGGAAAGTTCCCAAAATTTCTGAAATGTTTCCGAAATTTACTGGAAAGTTTCCACCTTTTTGCAACCCTAGTCACTCAAACCAACTGTGTTGTAATTCTGTTTGATACCACTATGGTGCAGAAAAACAAACTCTTAACCTTTAAACCATAACGTAAAAAATACATTTTGTGTGTGTTTGATAATTGTGATGCCGGCTTCAGCATAACCTTCCACTCTGTTTTTTCCTGAAGGTGCCAGCAGCGTTCCTGCTTTCTTCTCAGAGGACGACTCCCAGTCGAATGACTCCAGTGACTCGGACAGCAGCAGCAGTCAGAGTGATGATGTGGATCAGGAGACTTTCCTGTTGGACGAGCCTCTAGAGAGAACCACGGGCTCAGCGCATGCTAACAGTGCGGCCCAGGCGCCGCGGTCCATGCAGTGGGCTGTTCGCACGACACCCAGCCAGCGCTCCACCGGCGGCGCCCCGTCCAGCTCATCCACACCTGCTGGTCAGTATCTCACACAACCTGTCCAAAAAAAAAAATTCACCCAGTTTTTGGGAAAACAAGCCACTCCTGACGTCACATCTAGGGCTGGGTATTGATTCAGATGTCCTGATTCGATTTAGATTCGCATGCTCGATTCGATGCTCGATTTTTTTTGATTACATTCAGTGAATATAGTTTTAATACAAATGCTATTGATATTGCTAAAAAAATTGAACAGTAAACATCAGTTTACAAATGGTGAATTAATAATAAGAAATTAAGAGCCACAAGCCTGTATTTTAAACCTATTCTTTTTTTTCTTTGTATAGGGTCCTTTTTTTAAACAACAATAGGACCCTATAAAATGCTTTTCTTATTTTTTTGGTAATCAGATTAATTTTTAAATTTATCCTAATCACGTCTTTGCTCGGGGTGTTATGCTTCTCTTCTCTTTCCAATTCATAAATCAAATGTTATTTTATCAGTCACATGGTCCGAATTTTCCCGCTCTTGCAGAGTATAATTTTGGACATGGTTTCTATAACAAGAATGATACAAATGATGATACATTTGACAAAGAATTGATTGGAAGAAACGTTTCAAGCAAGAAGATTCAAACACACACATACTAAACATGAATATGAACCCTTAAGCTATTCAATAGTTATGAAAAAGACATACACAATAAGTGATTAGAACATGATAGTCAAATGTGTGGGTTACATACATGATATGGAGTTAAGCAATGGACTGATATTCGTTTATAAGTTCTTTTGAGTTCATTTTGGTGCATCTACATCTGCAAAAGACCATTTCTGTGCCGTTCTGTGAACATAAGGACATGTTCTGTGAAGACCAGAGAGGTTAAAAGGTCTCCTAAGGAATCTCAGTCTGGTTCTTGTCCTCTAGGTGGGGGGGGAAGTCAATCCATCAATCTTTGACCATCAATCTTGCTTATTTGCCCCAAAATTGACAATCTCCTTCCTGAGTTGTTCTTTTGTGTTAATGTTGCAAGCTGTTCTGTGAAAGAGTTGGTTGGTTAGACTTGCTTCAGACTGGCTAGCGCAAGGATCTGATTTACGAACATCCTGTCGTCTTGGGTCTTTCTGTGGAATTCGGCTCCTCGTGTTTCAACCATGTTCTTGATCGAATCTTAAATTGTCTGATTCGGTCTGATACCCTACAACGGTAAAATGTTAATGAAATGACTCTCAGAGCAGCTGGAGATGATATTTGTGTGTTCATATCGTCATATAGTTAGACCAGTGTTTCCCAACCGGGATGCCGTCTGTCGAGAGCAGGGGTGCCGTGTAAAAAGAAAAATTTTTTTTTTTTTAAATTGCTAAAATGTTCAAAAAAGCATCTATTATATAATATCCATTTCTGATGTCACCAATAATTAGAGATGCACCGAAATTTCGGCTGCCGAAAATTAGTTCACCACTCAGGTTTCACTTTCACGTGGTGTGACGCTCTGTGTATTATCCATTATCCCGCTCTATGTGTGTGTGCTCCGCTCAGTCGCTCCACTCGTATACCGTTCATGCTCATCGGAACAGCAAAGTCCACTCAAACATTGAGCCGACAGGTAACATCGATGTAGTACAGTATTGTTTGTGTCTGCAATAGCCCTACTGTGTTGTAACATGGTGTGGTATATGGGCAACGCTGCCTTCTCATTCATTGATCTGCTGACTGCTATGCTATGCTCGCGTGTTCTGATAATAATAGCTTTCTAGGATTAAACATTATTTGGATAATTGGTAAAAAAAAAAAAAGTTTAATATCTTAACCCTACTGTTAGACCTACCTGAAAAACTAAAAAGCAATTTATTTAATTCGAAGGCCTGTCGTTATTTTTTATTTGTGCTATCATTATTAATTTCTTTATTTGTGCTTATTTTATTACTGACTGCTTGTCATTTTTTTATTCAATTCAAAGTTTGAAATCAAGCTGTCTCGTGCTACTGCACAAAAATTACCCCACTGTAAAATAAAAAAAACACTTGAGTGAGCAAAAATTTGTGAGATAGCTAGTTATAATGGTAATTAAATAATGTTTACATATGTATAAAAGCCTACATTAAAATCTGTCATATAAATTGGTCTCTTCATTAGAAATTAGCCTACTGATTTCCACCATTGATTTACAAATTTTATAATAATATTAAAAATATCTGTATGACATTATATTCTGCAGTTCTTCCCTGTTGTACCAAATATCTATACTTTTCAAATTATCATATCGAAGTTAGAAATTCAAATATTGTGACAATTAATTTTGTAGGGTGCCACAAGTTTGTTAAAATTTCCAAAGGGTGCCGCGACTAAAAAATAGTTGGGAAACACTGAGTTAGACAACAGAAGCTGAAAACACCACGCGCTTCATCCGCGCTTTAGTATGTGTGTAGTAAACAAAACAGTGCGTTGCGCCATCTGCCATTCATTCATTCATTCATTGTGGAAATCATGGCACCTTATGCGTGGTATCAAATAGGGCTGTGCGATTTGGGGGAAAATATCAAATTGTGATTTTTTTTTTTTTTTTTTGACCGAGATTGCGATTTTTAAATTTGCAAAGTCAAGCTTCAGCTCAATATTGTCAATAATGTGCAGCACAGTATGGGTATCATTACCCTGCTGAAAAAATCAATAGAAACCATCACAGAAATTCTTATAGTTTCCATTAAACCATTACAAAATTCCTTTTTGTTTTGGGCATTATTCCTATAGGAATTACTGTTGTTCTATTGGTTGCCATCTGCCAGATTACATCCCACCAATAGAATCCATCAAATAGACACCATTATAGTTTACATTTAAACCAAACAAATTCCCATTATAACCCTGAAATCCATTTAAATTTTTTATTGTGTTTTGGGAGGGGTTCTGTTGTTGTTGTTTTTTTTCAGCAGGCAAGATTATAATGGTATAACTACTTTTACAGAATTAACTTAATTACTTGATTTCACAGAAAATATATATATTTTTTTTTTATAAATAAAGAACTGTATTTCTTAAGTCAATTATTAAAGTATTACATATGTTACATAGGCTGATTTATTCATTTTAAGTATTTGGGATTTTAAGAGCAAGTGGAAAATGTGCTGAATGTTTCATTTCATCCAAGTGAAATTAGCAAGCAGTTAGACTGAATTTACATTCGTTTTAAATGCGGAGCCAGGCGCGAGTCGACACAGGTTGCGCGCGTGCGTCAAGCCTCATCCATACTGCCAGATGCGCTCGTGGAGACTTGCGGTGCGGAGCCGGGTGCGAGTATAAACGAGCATTACGAGAGAGGTTGCGTGAGTG